TCTCGAGATATACCACTTTTAATGTGCAGTACTTCGGTATTATGTTATGAAAAAAGCATTCCTTTATTCAAAAAAATTTGGTGCTTTTGGTATGGTAAAACGCTTTTTTCCAAGTTTTTGGTGCTTTTTGAAAATCAAAAGATGGCAACACTGATAAAAGGTCGTTGCACTCGCTTATATACTAACGCGGCGGATGTTATATACGTACAGGTATGCAAGCAGTCTTAGTTAAGTGAAGAAATGCGTATCTGCAAACTTTCGCAATTTTGCCATCATTAATTTTGCTTCTACTTAGTTTCCTGATTATTTGATAATTCTTTTATATACAAATTTCCCTTTTGTTGGTGTTATACTTTGTTTTTCATTATTCGTTATGTTATGCATGTGTTCCTTTTAGAATACCTCAGAGTTCATGTTTGTTTGTTAGTGAACCTTATGGTGATGCTAGTTAGCAGTGGTTAGATAATTTAGTTTAATTGTACACACACATACATACATCGACCGTGATTTATTAGATTATAGTTTATTTAAAATTTATCCATTTTCATTACTTTATTTTAGCTTTTTAATTTATTTTATTTCATTCTATTTTATTTTATTTCACTATATTATTTTTCAATGCTATGAGCACATATGTATTGATTTTAGTTAATTTATTTCGGAACTATGTATATATTTATTTAAAAGCAACTATAATTTTCAATATAGCTGACTCACCTCTTAGTGGGCGGTTGCGGCCTCTTATGCGGTTATTTCTGGAACGTTTTAGGTCCGTTTTATGGCCCGCTTTAAGGGACTTCAACTTTCTTTTTGGTTATAAGTACCACTATTTTTAGCTCCAATTGATTTCCCGTCGCTAACTTTCGACAACCAAACACTTTGATATCGTCTTTATATTTGAATTGATCTCAGGACTGTTGGCGATCGCGCCCCCGATGCCTGCTGAAATTCCTACCGCATGAACCAAAAATACAAGATCACGCGGGCAGGAGAGTAGCCCGTTAGAATCGCATTTAGGAAAAAAGTTTAACGATTTTGGCATTAGCCGTTTGTTTACATTTCTTCGTTGTTTACAATTTGGTGGTGGCTTTTTACTGCAATTTTCTTCGTTTTCGCCTGTGACAATGTGTGTACACATAAGATAAAGAATAATTTACGTATATTAAGCTAGCAGACCATGGTCACGACGCGCAACTCTAACCTGTTGGGTATTTAGTTGCTAATTAGTTGTTAATTAGTTACCCTATTCCCGATTTAGTTGCTCATTACGTTTAAAAGATAAGCTAGCAGGCCATTGCTATATCTTCGGTTCCCGATAAGATAGCAGAGTTCTGCAAACGGCATATTTAGTTGCTTAATAGTTACTAGTTACACTATTCCCGATTTTGTAGCTCATTACGTGTAGAAGATACGTGTATGTGTGAAATTTTTTTTTTATAAAGCTTTTCATTTTACCATTCTTCTTCTAAATATGAGCCCTTAATGTCTATTATTGGTACGAAATATATTTTTAGTTTAACAATTTTTGTAATTTTAAACATTTCATATGTATATTTTAAAGATCTCATGTTCAAAATCAAATCTTGAGCATCTTATGCGTATATTTATACAGATTCTGGTTGACACTTTCAGTGGTTGTTTTACATGCACTTTTTAGAGTGTACAGTTACAAATGTGACATATTAATTACTATTTATTATACTTACTTTGCAAAATGCTTATGCACAACAAATTTAACTTATAAATTGAAATTATAAATGTTTGATTTTATGAAAAATTAAAATATATATACATGTACATAGCCCAGTAAAATTAGCCTTTTTCTTAAAAAAAAAATTGTATTCCTGCCAAATTCTGACTATATCAAACCAGGAGATTTTTTCGGTTGGGGAAAGTTAATGTTAGAACAAAAACCAAAAACATACTACAAATTAAAAGTTTATTTAACTTCTTCATTTAAAAAAATGTGTAAGTCGGCTCTTCTCCCTCCTTCTCTTTTAAAAAAAGGATATCTAATTTTTTTCAAATGCGAGTACTTTTTCAGAAAAAACTTTCAGGAACAAGCTGCGGTTTCATAACTCACGTACAATTTTCTAAAAGACATTTCAAAATTTACCGTTGTAAATATTTCTGCTTTTACCAATTGTACGCTTGTTCTGTTTCTCGGATGGTTTCAACTGTTCGCCATTATATCCAATACCTTTTAGAAAAACTCTGTGCTTACTGGTATAGACAGAGTTTTACCAATTAAATTTGGCGATTCTCTGAACTTCGCATACGGCTAAAAAAAGTTTCATCCACTGCATAGCTAAAGGGATATCAATAGATTGAATTGATGGATAAACTTTTGAATGACAGTTGCGAATCGATTGGAGTTTCTAACCGCAACTCGAAGAAATTGGTCAGTTTCGTAGCAGATGAGCTAAACAGCTACGTCTATACATTGTATAGGCTTACAAGTATGGAAAGCGCCATTTTGTTTGTTTACATTTGAAAATAGCTGAGATCACCTGAATTTCAATTCTCTCATTCTCCGCACAGAGTTACATTCAAGTTTCAGAAAAAATTTTAAAATGTAAATTGAGAAATATTTTAGAAAAATGTGTTTTTATTCATTTGCATTTGCATCTGCAATTTGCATTTGAATTATGATATCAACAGGGATGCTTTGGGACGTATTTTTTGAAGACAATTTTCTTATAAATCTTGGGATTGTTGATTTATTTTAGAATTAAAAAAGGTAGTTTATATAAAAAAATATATTTAGACTAGCAGTATGTAAATTACTTTTATTACGAATTGAAACGATTTTAATGAATATTCATGGTTACCATTAATAGTAGTATGACAGTTAGATCTAAGTGCATATTTGACAAGAAAGATAGAATACAAGATTGCGCCGTTCTGGCGGCGATGACCTATCTGTACAAACAGTAATCAAAGTCGAATTGGATGTTGAAAGAAAATGTGATGACAGCAAATTTTCTTAATAATAAATTTTTCGATAAGGAACGTGTGTTAATTGTGCTAATTTCTAATATCCTTATTCATAAACAATAAAGTAGCTTAAAAAAATGTTTGCAAACGGCAATTTAAAAAGCCTTTTAAAATTTTTATTTTTTATGAATAAGGCGATAAAAATATATGATTTAAAATAACTTTTAACAAGGAAAACACGAAATAAGGTGATTTTCGCAGAAGTAGGTATTAGTGAATTGCAGTGCATTTAAAGTTTCTGAGTTTCGTTTACTTTTAGATCAGAATTGTCAAAATTGTGAAATTCAAAGTAGCAGTACGATAATCATAGAAAAGAAGATTGCGCCCTGAATGTGTATCTTCTTGGGTTTCGGTTTGACAGCCAACTGCTGTGATGATGTGGAAATTTACCAAAATGAAGAAAAATATAACAATTAAGTGAACAATTTTGATTTTTACAAATTTAGTGAGCAGTAGCGCGTTTTAGGAACGATATTTCGGGCAAATCGTTAATGAACAACAACAAAGCAGACGGGAAGTTTTGGTTTTGGCAAAAAAGTTGATTAGTTCCTGCCGGCGATCAAGGTATTTCAACCACAAAATACTATTATTTACAAGAACCATTCACTAAAATTGTAACTAACTTTTTATTATTTATTAATTCCTTTTTGATATTCAGCAATAGCAACATGGAACAAATTATAAACCAAAATTACATAGTAATATTTTTATGAATGTAGTTATAAAAGTTCACAGAGGAAACGCTGTTTTCCGGCGTTTCCTCTGTGAACTTTTATAACTACATTCATAAAAATATTACTATGTATTGGCAACGACATAAAATGTATGGCAATTTAGATGTCAAGAGAATAATAACTACGATAAAAAGCATGAGAGATGTGTGCGAAGGAGGAAATCTTTTCAATTTGAACAAAAAAAAGCTTTAAATGTCGTTGTAAAACGATCATCAAATTTCTTATAAAATATTTNATTCACTAAAATTGTAACTAACTTTTTATTATTTATTAATTCCTTTTTGATATTCAGCAATAGCAACATGGAACAAATTATAAACCAAAATTACATAGTAATATTTTTATGAATGTAGTTATAAAAGTTCACAGACGAAACGCTGTTTTCCGGCGTTTCCTCTGTGAACTTTTATAACTACATTCATAAAAATATTACTATGTATTGGCAACGACATAAAATGTATGGCAATTTAGATGTCAAGAGAATAATAACTACGATAAAAAGCATGAGAGATGTGTGCGAAGGAGGAAATCTTTTCAATTTGAACAAAAAAAAGCTTTAAATGTCGTTGTAAATCGATCATCAAATTTCTTATAAAATATTTTGGTTTTTACCATGATAAAAACATTACAAGGTAAAATCATTGAGAGACAGTCTGACGTTTGCCAGCAATATAATTTTAAAATTCGAACTCAAGCTCACAAACACATTCTCATTTTTAATCTCAAACAACAACAATTATGAACAACTAGCGGACCCGGCGCACTTCGTCTCGCCCGAATTGAACACCTTCAGATAAACTCCAGGGTGATAATAAAACACAGATATTTAAAATTTCAATGTGATTTATTTGAGTGCAATCGAAATCAGCAGAGAGCGATATGGTAGACAATATTTTTCGATTTGTTTTCCGGCGCAAAAACAAACAACGAAGACGGTTTGCCAACACGCGAACAGGCAACGTACAGCTGACCGTGCGAAAAACAGGGAAATTCGAGATTAATCCCACAGACTTCCAACGATTGGCCTTGAGATTTATTGATTGTCATCGCGAAAGCCAATCGAACGGGGAACTGAATCCGCTTGAATTGGAATGGAAGATCAGTTGGAATAATCGGAATTCGTGGGATAAGGACTTCCTCTCCTTTAAATTTTCCCTTTATGATCGTCGCTTGAATCAAATTTTTCATCAGTTTATTGACGGACAACCGCGTGCCGTTGCACAATTTCGGGTGATTCAGATTCCGCAACATGATTATGATCGATCCGACCTTCAGCTGTAAATTATGCGGCGGAGTTCCTGGTACATCAAGCGAGTTCAAAAATTCCGTCGGATAGTTGGTCGCTTCATCCTCGTCGGTCACGCTGTCAACGGATTTGTACGAATGCAGTTCTCCAGCTATTTGACTTTGAATAATGAAATTCAAGCTATCGACATCTTTATTCTTCGCTGCTAGTATTGCCCGTTCACTAATCCAATCGAGATTTTTATAATTTTGTGCAATTCCGGGGAACACTTTGGTGATGAGTTCCTCCTTCGACGATGTGAACTCGCAAAAATTTGCCGGGAACGATACCAATCCAGTCGAAACATCAACAGGAATTTGGCCATTGCCAAGCGCCAGCAGTTGTCTCGAGAATTCAGCAGCTGACGGGTCGTTCTGCAATGCGACTCTCATGTTCGTGGTCAATTTAAACTTCTTGACATGCCGCCATAAAGACGACGATTTCAAGCATGCATTAAGTTCATCGGCAGCAGTAGATTTCGGGATAACGGGAAGCGTTTGACGAAAATCTCCGGAGAGCAATATCATAGCCCCACCAAATCGTCTCGAATCACCTCTTAAATCCTTCATTGTTCGGTCAACTGCCTCTAAAGCCCGTTTATGCGCCATCGTGCATTCATCCCAAATGATGATTTTGCATTCTCGCATCAATTTCGCTGTCGCCGAATTCTTGGTCAATGTGCACGTTGGCTGGTCAACCGTGAGAACATTCATCGGCAGCTTAAAAGCAGAATGTGCAGTTCGACCGCCTTCCAACAATGTGGCAGCAATCCCAGAGGATGCAACAGCCAACGCAATTTGAGATCTTGACCGAATTTTTGCCAGAATCAACGAAATGAGAAATGTCTTGCCTGTTCCACCGGGAGCATCGAGAAAGTAAATGCCTCCCGTTCCATCGTCAACAACTTTCATCAGCGAATCGTACACGTTCTTCTGCTCGGCATTCAACAGCGTCACATTTGTTCGCACTCTTTCGGCCAGCTCATCTTGATCATAATCTTGCTCCCGTTGCAATTCGCGATTGAATGCATCGTGCAGCGAACGATTTGGCGCTGGCATTCCCAATGTCGACAGCAGACTGCCGCACATGAGCACGCAGATGTCTTCGATCAGAACTAATGCTTCGTTGCGCATCTCGTCGTTAATTTCGAGATCGAAATTCGAAGTTGTCGTGCGAACTCTGTGCAAAATGTCGTCAGCCATCTCGTCCTTGTATTTGTCCCACAATGCAGTCGGGTTCGACGGATGACATGTAGCTATGATGATCGCAAACAATGTACGAATTTGATTCGCTGGCGCAGAAACAGTTGCATCGGCGAGTGTTGAGTCCCAATGTGTATCGTTTTCGAGCAAATTCAAACGTTGGCAAGCCTCCCGAAAAGTGGCACACAGCACACCATCCACAGTACGCAGGGAATCGAACGATGTAGGGCCTCTAATGTTTACCAAAAGCAAGCGAAGATAGAAGCATTCGTCTTGGCGTGGATGAACTGTGTATATTCGTCCGAGGGCATCAGTAGAATATACATCAGCGAAGCCAGCAACAGAATCACCTTTCTTCCGGCGTTGAAACTTCTTCGATGCTGCGTTCCATGTATAATAGCGTGGCAGTTCCGAATAGAGTAAAGTCCTTGCGAACGGATCGCTTTCGCATGTCGAAAAGAAATTTGTCAATGTTGTCGCTGGTGGTCGTTCTGCTCTTTGCGCTGCATTTGCGTCC